TCTTTTATAACAATTTTCTGAATGTATTAAAAAAGTTATAACCTAGCTCTGTTTTTAACAACATAATTACCAACTATAGCATATGTGAAGATATTTGTAATTTAGTAAAACTGTGTATCTAAAACCTGTCCTTCTAAAATTGGATAGTATTATTGATAGTGGCAGCAATTCAAGTTTACATAATGAGTTTCAGAAATAATTGATCCAACTTATGTGTCAATAAGGCTTCCCTGGTAGCTCAGACGGTAAAGCGTCTGCCTATAATGTGGGAGACCTGGGTTCGATCCATGGGTCAGGAACATCCCCTGGAGAAGGAAATGGCACCCCACTCCAGTACTCTTGCCTGGAAAACCCTATAGACAGAGGAGCCTGGTGGGCTACAGCCCATGGGGTCACAAAGAGTCGGACACGACTGAGCTACTTCACTTCATGTGTTAATAATAAAATGAGATTTATGTTTTAATTACTTTTAATTTATACATGAAAAAATATGTATTCCAAGACTCTTGATGTCCATCCCAAGTGTTGTCAGTGAATTACTAAAATAATCTTAGAAATTATATCTCAAACTTTAAAAAAGATTATGTACCTATAATTTTAAATATAGATAAAAGAATTTGGTTTAATATGTTTTGAGTAGTTTTTATTATGGAATAAAGATCTAGCCATAACTTAAATGGGTGAGACACAGCAATGTTTAGTAATGTACCCAAGGTCTCAAAGCCAGTAAAGGATGGGATTTGATTCAGTAAGTATGCAGTCATTTATATTGTTGTTAGGTTTAAAAACTTAAGTTACCCATTCATATAATAATGATTGCTAAGCTGAGCTTGGAGATACCAATGAGAAAAATCAAAAACAGTAGTGAAGGAAGAGGGTACTAAGAAATCTAAAATTGTAGGAGAGATTTCAAAACTGCATTATGATCACATGACTTTAGGGAGCTAGTGTATGCTTTCTGTCCTTTTTTGAAGATTCTTGGGCTTCAGAAGCTCAGGATTCTTTAAGATTCAGACTTGTAAAAAGCACAGTAGACAGAATCTGAAGCTTTGTTTAAAATTATTAAAGTAATACATGGACATTAGAGAATAAAGTAGAATTAAAAGCAGCGAAAGTCACCTGGAACCGTGTCATCAATGGAAACAGTATTGCCATTTTGGAGCCCTTCTTTCTAGTGGTTGATTATGCGCGCATTCACACAGTGGAAACCATACTCCCCATTATAATGTAGTATCATACCTTTCTCACACATCATTAAACTTTTTTTGAAATGTCAGTGTCACTTTAAATTATTGTATGATAGTCCATCATTTTGATATACTGTCACACTAGAGCTTCTCAAATCTTCTTCCCCACCAAAGAGCTAACTCTGAATGACAAGGGGATACAGCTTTAACTCAAAGTGGACCATCACATGCAAGGAATTGCCTTAAAAATCTTTGTTATTTCAAAGATGTCTGCAAATTTTACATTTTACTTGGTATGTCTACATTTCCATCTTTAAAAACATTAAGTCTCTCATACCCTTGAGTAAAACTAGTGACCAGGACGATGCCCTGTTTGCATCTGGTGGCTCCACATCCTCTTGAACTTGGATATTGTTGACCTTGCTCCTAGGAGTTCAGAAATACCATGAGCATGGACAGTGACCCCAGAATAAACACACGCGCTTCCAATCACATTTTTAAGGATACATGTATTCAGGTACAGAAATCCCCACAGAGCTTGTAAAATTCACAGTCAGTCCAGTGAACTACAAAACTACAACATAACTCCTTTGAGGGAACTCTGAGATCGGCTCATCTGCTCCTTTCCACCATCTCCACATTCCAGCGTGAGTAAGGACCTGGTGTCTCCTCCTCTAGACACTGAGACAGTGAAGGCTGCCCGTGAGTTTTAGGAAGAGGTGTCCAGAGACAGGGGTTGGCTGTAAGTGATCTGATATAATCATCAGCATGAAACTTTTTTAACAGGTTTTTTTTTTTATTCTTAAAGGTTACTCTTCAAGTTTTAAGAGATCTTACTTGTTGGTATCTTGCTTAAAAGTTTATAAGAGCTCACTACAAATTCCAGGGTTTTTTTTCCTGTTCCACACTTGAATCCCTATTGATTTGTAGTAATTGCTATTCTATACAGTATTTGAGTATAGTGGTTACCATTACAAATGTGAATTCATTGTCCTCTCCTTTTCAAAGTCTCCTCAGCACATATACCAAGCATTACATTAATCACATACTCCCTGAGAAAAGTTACACCTTTAAAAATGGAGACAAAAAGTATATTTGCAGAGTGAGAATTATAAAAGCAAACTGCTTACTTAGCTGAAAGTCACTCAAAATCTGAGTGGCCAAGCAGAGATGAATCTAAGTCTCTTGAGTGGTGCTCCTCACTGACATCCTCACCAGGAAAAGTTACAGCTATTAGTTGCTGGTGCAGAGCTACACTACCCAATTAAAATAGTCAAACAAAAAATTAAAGCATTCCAAATGGAATAAAATATTCAGCAATAAATAGAAGTTTATATATAACAGTTGGCAAAAAGTTGCAACATAGCTTCCCCTTACTTCCATTCATGGGCTCTAATGCATGATGTGATTCAACTCGGGGCATCTGTAAGATTTCAAAGACATGTCAGCACTGTTCTGGGGAAATAGATTATCAGTTATGGTGGCGAGGACTAGGGCTAAATAAGTCAGTATATGTGAGAGTTTCGTATCTAAAGAAAGAAATGTTTCTCCTTTCTACTGAAAATATATCCAAAATCTATTGTGATTCTTTCCACAAGTGGCTTGAATCACTTCCTCTAGTTGGTATTTCAAATAGACCAGAGATACCGTCACTCGTCTAGTTTGATTTAATCATTTTGTGCGGTATTTTCCCTAACATTTGGTTTAACCTAACGGGCTTCCTGAATTATGCTTAGTACTTATGGTTTTTTAAGAAGAGAATAACTTTCTCAAGAAAAATTTATCATCTGCACATTCCCATTACATTTGGCCAGTATTACCTACAGCAGCCTCACAGAGTGAATAGATCTCTTGGGGGGTTTTCCTGGTGATAGATGTCATATTTTTTAGAATCATCTACCAAGATCAAAGACACATGTTTATTAAATCTAAAATCTAAAATTTCTAAAACTTAATTTTTTATTATACCATAAGATGCATCTTTCCCAGTTGAGTAGTCTACGCAGCTATACTTACCAAAATTGCTTAATAGTCATGTGCCCTTCTCAGTATTTTAGACAGGAGCAAAATAACAGCATTGGAAAAATTCTTCAAAAACTACCAGTACAAGGAATTTAACTTTGTATTTAATTCTAGGTCCTTTTCACACCAAAAAATAAGCCAGAACAGACAGTATTTCAATGTATAAATTCTGTGGTAACTGATTAAAGGAAGTCTTGCTAGAATCTAATAGTTTTTCAGAAAGGATTAGAAGCAAAGCATAATTTATTGTCCACCTCTGCATGACATTAATGGAAATACTTAATAGAAAAATAAATGAAACCTCAACAGTAAGAATTGCAATTTACTAGACCATAATAATTTGAGATGTTTAGTTACACATACACAAAACAGCACAGACTTTACCAAGAACCAGAAACTAATATATGTTCTTAGGTCTGAGTAGAATGAGCTTTATCTATAGCTATAATATTTTTTCAAACTAGATATTATTCTGTAAGAAAGAAACAAAAATAAGACTATCATCCAATTTTGTGTAGAACTAAATATTTTCATCCTGGAGGCTTTTGTATATGTTATATTGATAGTGCTAGAAGTCCAAACAGAATTTTTTTTTTATTACCTTCTCAGACAGGTATACTTTTGAGAAAACAGGAAATGATGTATCAGGTGATTCTTGGATCTACACTTATTACTGAAAATACCAGCTTACAGCATTTCCAGACGCCACCAGGAAAGTTGGCGAGGGAGCGGAGATCAGGAAGGATAGGACGAGCACAGGAGTCGTGAGGCATTTGTGTTCTAGCCTCGCTTCTTCGTTTATTTAACTGTGTCCCTGAATGTGGCACTTGTCAGTCATCTAAGAAAAAAAGCATTAAATAAATATTGGTTTCTGTCTTGTCAAATTTATGCCATCAAATATTTATGGGTTTAAGACAACTTTTAATCTCTTTAAAATGTAGGCTTTTGATATTACATACCATATACAGATAAATGGAGAAATGTGATAAAAGTGCCCCCTTAAGTCACCAGCCCACTTCCTGGTGATGGCCTATATTTGCTTTGTTCTTAATGAGATTATTTTCCATTTTTGGACACCAGTGTCATGTGGTTTAACTTTGAGAAACGAGTATCAAGAGACAGACCTGGAACCCAGTTCTCCACTACTGTTTCTGCTGGCTTTGCTTTTTTTTTTTTCAAGCTAAGCTTTCTACATTGGAATCTGGATGAAGTATTTCAGCAAAGCACCAACCTATTGACTAACAGCCTTCTCAAAGCATCTGCTATTTCATTATCTCCCCCCAGCATCTGTAAGGCCTCTCTTTCCAGCATTCTAACTGGAAAAATATGCTGCAAAGCATATTTCTCAGAAGTCTTTCTTGTGACATGGGGTGGGACATAGGACCTGATGGGGATGTTCTAGCAGGAATATCCTTGAGCTTGTAACAGTTTCCTTCAGTAGAAACTTCCCAGGAAATTATCTCCACCATAGTAGAGAAGGGTGACTGTATTGCCAGAGTGAAAGCTTTTCTTTTTCAGTTTTTTTTTTCCTTCTATATCTTTTATTTCATATGATTTAAAGAATAATATATAGAAGTGGGAAGACATCTGTGTTAATTTCTCAAATTTCCAACACACCTTACCTTTGTTATCCTGACATTCAAAATAGGGACAATATAACCTATTCAACCACAGTATATAAAAATGGTTTTTGTAGAAACAATGAAAAACTTTTAACATAAAATAATGAAATCCTACTGATGTATAATGTCTTTCTTTTTATCTCTTTATTTAAATACTTCTCTTACTCAGATGGTTCACAAGCACCAGCCAGACCTCCTAAACCACGACCCCGCAGGACTGCACCCGAAATTCACCACCGAAAACCCCACGGGCCGGAGGCAGCATTGGAAAACGTCGATGCAAAAATTGCAAAACTCATGGGAGAGGGCTATGCCTTTGAAGAAGTGAAAAGAGCCTTAGAAATAGCCCAGAATAATGTGGAGGTGGCCCGTAGCATCCTCCGAGAATTTGCCTTCCCCCCTCCAGTCTCCCCACGTCTAAATCTATAGCAACCAGGATCATAAAGACCAGAATGCGAAGCAATTGCTGACTATCCCAGGCGTGTGGAGAGAAAAGTGAGATGGGATTCAAGAAAGAAGCTTTCTCCTCCTCACGTGGCATCTTTGAGAAGAGAGGCTTGGAAGTGGCTGCTTCTCAGAAGACAGCTGCTGCTTGCTCAGGATGCCAAGGGCTGCGGCTTCCTTACTTTTGCTAGCCATACTTTTAAATCAGGGTTGAACTGACAAAAATAATTTAAAGACGTTTACTTCCCTTGAACTTTGAATCTGTGAAATGCTTTTCCTTGTTTACAAGTTGGCAAAGTTGCAGTTTGTTTTTTTAGTTTTGTTTTCCAATTTTTGTTTTTTTGATATCTGTACTGTGTTCTTGATCGGCCCTCTGTACAGTGGTCAGGTCTGCTGTAACATTTCCTACCAACTCCCTTGCTGTGTGCATCAGCAGCGAGGTCACATATCCATTGTGATCGTTCCCATCCCAGCCTCCCACCCAGGTCCAATTTCATTTCTCCCATTGACAAGATGCTTTAAAGGTTCTGATTTTCAGCATATCAAACTAATGCAAAACAAGTGTGTGGGCTTCACTACTGAGTCTTTTCTTTGGAAACCATCACTGTTGAGAGATGGGGAAATCTGAATGTATAAAGCATTTTTGGTTAATGAACTGCCTTTTATAAGGGATTTTCATATAATATAGAAGAGCTTCCCTTTCTGGTGTAAGTTTTGTGATCTTTAATCTTCCACATTCTCATCTTTGTCATCCTCGAGGTGTAATGACTGTTTAAAAAAAAAAAAAACCTGAAACATTGGAAAGCAGCTCCTGCAGAGGTGGGAGAGACGCACTTGCACAGGACGGTGCCACACTAGGGGCACACCGAGGCCCCTGGGTGTTCACGCCTGCAGTACTTACCAGGCGTACTGATGAGAGGGCATCTCCCAGAAGTGTAGTAGTGATTTTCAGGTAAAATTATGAGCATACCTTTCCCAAAGTGGAACTGACTTCATTTCCTGTTTGAGTGATTACACTCTGGTACCTAACGAGTTTAGGAACCAGTTCATCTTGCAGTGGAAACAGCAAATCGTTGACGCACTGTTAAGTGCTAATGCTACTGTGGCAATGTTTTCTTTTTTCTTTTTTTTTTTTTTTTGCAAAATTCTTAATAGTAATTTTCTTTCTACCATCAAATTAGAGTTCATATTTAATTTTTAGTCTCATTTATTGCTCCACATTGTTCCATCCAGTTCAGGTGAAAGAAATTTATATAGTTTTGCCTTTTTTGCAAAATGAAGGTAGGTTCTTCAGAAACCACATTATTAACTCTTAATAAACCTACAGATATTTATTGGGCACCTGTGATGTGCCCCGTGCTGTCAGGCACTGTGTTCTTAAAGCACAAACCATCACAAAGTGATTGCATTGTGGTATTCTGTTATCCTTTATCCACACTTTTGACAGTCAAAAAGTGTCTCTGCTAGACAAAAGCATGGAAGGTTTCCACCAGTGCTTCAGAATTTTCAGGCGGTCTTCTTTTTAAATTATTACTTAGTGAAGAATTGAGACGAAACCAGGTCTGCGTTAAATGCTTGACCCACGGGTGGTTTTCTAAATATGTGCTGCCTGCAGGTCTGTGCACATTTCTGTCGCTCGTTCAACTTCACACAGTGTGATGTAGAAAGATGCATCTGATCAGGAGTGCCTCTTTGGGATCTGGAAGCATGTGAGCCTACCTGTAGCAGAGCCAAAGGAAGCTAAGTCAAGACTTGTGCGGGCGTCGTGTGGACCTGGGAGGGAACCAGCACATCTCTGTGAGCCGACACACACCTGACTTGACAACTAGGTCTCCTAACGAGGTGCTTGAGGAGTCATAGACCTTGGATAGTTTGTGCTCATGTTTTAAGTTCTTCATCTGATTCTGAGCTGGTTCATGTCCCTAGAAGAGAATTTTTAATTTGCCTTAAATGTTCTTCCTGTAAGTATATGAAGGCAGTTTTTTATACTTTTAAAAATTGCATTGGCTAATTCTCCATCGCTTTATGAACTCCATGTTATATCATTATGATTTTTCATTTGTTAGTTTCTGATGTCATGCTGAAACAGCACTGTGTTTTGGGTTTTTTTTTTATGACTTGCTGATCTTCGGTACAGTCTAAAAGCCAAAAGTTGCCACTTCATTGTGATAACATTGTTAGAAAGCATAGTATAATCTCATTCAAACAATCTTTAAAAATGAGTGAAAATTTCCAATGAAAGTGAGGGAAAAAAATAGTGACAATATAGTAAGTTTAGACCTGAAATTTTTTAAATCTATTTTGCAAGAAAACTTACTAGCCTGCACCAAAATCTCTCTGTATCTACTTCTCAATAGCAACCATTAGTTTTACCATGAAAAAGACCAAGTCAAAAATTTGTATGGAATGGAAAGAGGGAAACTTTCAATCAAACACTGTCATGAAAACCTTACTGCTACCTATTACTTACCAAACTCAAAAAAAATTTTTTGAGGAAATAATTAAACAAAAACATAGTTTTTAATCATAAAAGTGACTAGCCGTTAATGGCTGGAAATGATCCAGACTTGGTTTCACTGTGGTCCAAAAAGTTTGACATTCCTCCCATTTCTCAAGATGTATTTGGTAATATGATTATTTTTACAGCCAGTAGAACATATCATTTATATAATTAAAACCGGTCGTGGCCAACATTAACCTGCTCTCCCCTGTCCCCAGACATACTCCGGGGCAGAAGTACTTCCCTTCAAAGATAATCCAGTAGATTATCTCCATAATCTCTTTTTCCCCCCGTGATGTCTGTATTATCTATCCTGGCCAAGTTTTCTAGAATTGAATCAGCAGTGCTTATGGTCAACTTGAACTTCCTTCCACAAAGGTGACCCCTCCCCATCCATATTCCCTTGCCTATATTGCAGATAGTCTTAATAACAGAACCCTAATTGCCCATGAACCTCAAAGGGCCCATTGGTTAACTCAATATTCCACACACATGAACACTTGCTAAGATTTCTTCATAATGTGAATTTTTTTCTTGTCCAGTTCCAGAAGCATTTGTTACAGTTTGGACATTATTTTTCCTCTCAGATCTTCAACTTGAAGCTTTAATTTGCACTGAATTATCTAACCCAGTTAAATTTTTCATTTTTTTTCTCTTATGCTGACAGATTTGAAAGCAAATTACAGTATGTTTTCAACAATACAGGTACTGCCTGTTGACCTGGAATTTTAGTGTTTCTAGGAAGAGTTTGCAGAAAATGACAGCAGTTGAGTGAAGGGTTTTCTTCTCAATTACTATTTTATTTTTAATGCCTTTTTAAAACTTGTCTAATGTGGCAAAATAGCTATGTGTTCAATTAATTTATATTTTATTCATCCTTTTTCAATTCTGGTTATTATGTAAACTCCAGTACAGTTTTATCTGTTCTTTTAAGGTATTTTATAAAATGAATGTTAACAAAAGCAGAGTTGGTATATTATTTTTCAAATGAATGCAAACATTTGAGAGCAGTTCTATGTTGTATTTTTTATCTTCATGTTCAGAGCTAACAGTCAACATCATATCAAGTACCCATCCCAAATGATTTAATTATTAAATAACAAAACCATATCATATAAAGGTATTTCACATAGATAAGCTACTCCCATGCCTTAGAACTGAAAAGTCAAAGTTCTGTTAAGGCCCTGAGTAAGAAATAGCAAATCTGGGAAAAGCTGATTGTCATACCATACTAATGACATACCGTATAATTGATATTTCTTAAAAGTAACATCTGTTCTTTATATTCTTGATTGTTCTAATCATTTGTTACTGGCCAGTACATATCAGCGAGAGGACAATGGAGGCAAACCATATTAATAACTGCTTTTATATCAGAAACAATAACAGAGTGTTGTGAAAATCATGGGTACATGCATAGTAGTAATAATTATACTTTCAAAGAACACACAATTAAATGGGAGCTATGAGCACATAATTCCAATACAGAGAACACTGTACAGAAGTTATCACATTGTACTGGCATTATGTACATATGGTAAGCGCTGAAGAACCCAGGTCTCCTGCATTGCAGGCACCAGGGAAGTCCAAGAATGCTGGAGTGGGTAGCCTGTGCCTGCAGCCGATCCCGACCCAGGCATTGAACCGGCGTCTCCTGCATTGCAGGCAGATTCTTTACCAGCTAGCTGAGCCACCGGGTAAAACCCCAGAAGAACTATGTGGGGCCCTTGACATATGCAAGAAACTTGGTATTAACGCATTCAGTCCTTTCAACAGCCATCATGTCTCTTCTAGGACTGTCAAAGTGGGGTGTGATATGTTCCTTCTGAAGTCAGAGAAATAAGAAGACTGAAGAGCATTTTGTTAGCCTGAAGAGAAACAAGGTTTTTGTTGTTACGCGAGAACTCTGGAGGTAAAGCTTTTCAAACAGGAACAGCACCCGTGATGGAACACTTGTTATTTAGACAAAGGCGAAAAGTAGGGCGGCTGGAACACAGAGGAGACCGGGGAGGCTGCCCTGGTGACCCAGGTGCAGGACCATGCGACATCTCAGATCCTAGGAAGCAGGTTAGGAGTCACTTGCTGGGACTCAGATGATGACATCCATGAAAATGCCTAGAGATTAGGCTGTATTTAACAGGAATTGCCACGTCAAATGATAATCCGGCTATAAACTAAAGGGAAATTTAATTTCCATGCCTCTTTTTTATGTCCCTCTTGATTTTCAAGAGAAACTTGGGCGGTGTTCTTAACTACCTATTTCTGCTGCTGCTTCATGCTCACTGCCACCACCCTCTTTTGGGTCTTAATTTTGGCTCCCCTGGAATTTTTAATAGCCTGTAATTGACCTCTGTGGCTCTGGTGCAAGGCAGACTGAAGTTTCTGAAATTCAAATTCAGTGTGACGCCTCCATGTAAAATGCGTGGATACTCGATGGTAGGGCCCTTGTCTGCATTCCTTTTCCTGCTCACCTCCTGTCCTAGACCCTCTTCACTTCTGCTGAGCTGGCAACTGCCCAAACAGGCGCCACGTCTTTATACTTGCTAGTTCTTCTGGCTATTCCTTTCCCCTTTTCCAGCCTAGCCAACTCATTCTTTAAAATCTGCCTCAAGTATTTCTCCTGTGAAGCATTTCTTGTCTTATCCCATAGTCTGAGTTAAGCATGCCATCATCTACATCTCACATAGCACCAGTATTCTAACGCTTATAGTGTGGTTTTTGCAGTTACTTCATTCCACAGATGGCCCCGACTAGACTGAACTTCTTTAGTAGAGGAAGCGTGTCTAATACATGTCTATGTCCCAAGCTCCTACTATAGAGCCCAGCACATACTAAACCAAATGTTTCAAATAAATGCAAATGGCACTCTTAAGCAGCCAAAAGTGACAACAGTCCTGAAAGCTGGTAAAGCTCTGCAACTAGCTCCCTGCATGCAATGCCATCTCTTTGATTCTGCTTTCTTCACCCATGGACCAGGAGATAGATAAGTCTACACACTAATGTGATTACAGTAGATGCCTAAGTTTTTCTTCACTGTTTGGATGGGGAGCAAAAATTATTTAATAAATCAGATTCACAAAAGCTAGATTTTAAATTTTAGAGATAAAAATTTTTTCAATTTATTCTTTTTTAGTAACAAGAATACTCAATGCTTCATAAAGAGTTTATGGCAAACGTGTCTAAGAAACTACTACTCACATATTCCCGTGAT